TAATAAATGGTACATTTTTTGATATTTTTAGGGCATATTTTAGATATTTTAGGTCATAAATGCATTTTTTGAAAGATAATTTTTTCGATATTTTTATGGCATTTAAATCCTAGCCCTAGTCATTAAGCATCGATTACCTCACTAACCCTAGATTAAAATATTTCGTTATTTATTTTTTGTAACACATGTTAATATATCTATGTCAAATAATTTTTTTTATTTAATTCATATTGTTATTAATAATACAAGGTTACTTATATACAGTGGCGTATCCAGGATTCATTTAACGGGAGTGTTTTAAAATTTATTAGACTTATGGTAAGTAGAGCCTCTGCCCCCTCCCCGGATTAAATAAATGAATTCCATGTATTTATATAAATAAAAACGATTACATTAAGACAGCATATGTAAAACCTACAAGTTGTATACAACGTTTATTCAAATAATCAAAGTAAGTTTACAATTTGGTGAAATACCATAAAATAAGATCGTTGGGAGGTGTTCTAACACCCATATCACCCCCTCTAAATACGCCCCTGCTTATATATACATATATCTCATCCTCATTATTTTTTTTCGTTTTCATTCCTTATACACAGTCCATTTTCTTTTAATCTTTCCTTACTAAATTTGTGTCTGAATTTCAATCACTATGTTTTTTGCGTCAGTGTTACTAGTTATATATATATATATATATATTTTTTTTTGCGTATTTAAACTTTTTACTAATATTTTATTAGTTTTACAATAAGACGTTCTTTAATTTTTGGCATTAATAAAATAAAAACTCTGGCACTACCCACAAATGTTAGAACTTAAAAAACAAATTAGTAAAAACATTAAAAACATGAAGTGAACTCAAAAACTATTATTGAAACAGTTTTGATATAAAATTATCACCAAAACGATTTTTAATAAACTGTTTATACAGTTTTATACTGTTTATATACGTTTACACGGTTCAAATGGAGGAGCGGTCTACCTATCACCCCCTCTCCCAATTTAAAACCACTACAGTATAATATTTATTTTTTAGTATAGATAATGGTTATATAGTATGATAAATTACAATAACACATATATTTTTCTCAACTTTTGACAATTTCATCTAATATTTCTTTTGGTGTGATTGTAATACTATATAATATTACATTTAACAATGAGTTCAATAAGTAAATTGAAACCAACATAATATTTAAATAATTATAATCTACCACTTTCTTACTAGGTACTTCTGAAGTACTTGGATACATGGATAGTAAAGATTTTCAAAGTGGCCTTCATAAATAAATTTTTTCTAACATATTGTATACATAACACATTATATAGTGAATGGTTTAGTGGTGATGGGAATTGGACCTCGTAACCTCCGATGTCTATGGCCCTGGGTTTTCAATGTTCAACGAGCGTTGAACTAAATGTCTACATTTGCGTTTGGCGCGGGGGTCAGTCAAATAGAAAATCCTTGTTACAAACGACACATTGACAGTTGTTACGAGTGCATGGGTTTCGTTATAATTCGTGAATTGGTCGGTTAGGTTGGGAACTTCAACAAATTTAATGCTGGTAGGTCGGCAAAATAGCACGATTGTGAATTAAATAAGAACACTTTCTGAAAAACCCACACCAAGTTCATTGAAATGTTGCTATCGAATAAACGGTTTTAAATTAAAGATATTACGAATGGATCACTTTAAATATCTAAAGATGGTTGATATTGTAATAAAAACAAGTATCTAAAAAAGGTAGGTTGAATTTTTAACTTTTACAAAAAAAAAGGCATCTAAAATTTGGGAAAATCAAAAATTTCAAGTACAGTACAAATTTCATTAAAATATTTCGAAACTATGAAATATCTTTAAAATGCTTGTATAAGAACTCAGTATTTTTTTTTTTTTATATAACATTCTTATAACTTTTTTATATATTTTTTTTTAATCCTAAAATATAAAAATTTAAAGTTTTATGAATTTTTAATTATAAAAATGTAGCAAGTCTTATTGTGTTGTCAAAATTTATTACTTAAACGCTAAAAACATTTTTTTTTTTAAATAAGTTCAATTTTTTTCATTAATCAGTAAGAGATATACGATATATGGTATGAAGAATTTCATATTATACTATCAGCAGTTTTTGTCAAAATTAAAAATATTTTATATATATTTTAACAGATATTAATTTATTTCAATTTTATGTAAATAACTAAATAATTTTTTTTAATTAATATTATACCCTCTGTAGAGACGGTGTTTAAGCACTAAGGGGAAATTTCTAGAATCTATGATTATTATTTTTTTATTTACAATGAGAACAAAAATTCGACTTCATCTAAAACCGGTATACCGTAAATGTATTATTTACTTTATTGTTTAATAACAATGTTATTTGTATATAAAAACATGTGTGTTCACTTTTCACCTTTGAACTTTATTTAATATTAATTATAAATTATATATAATTAATCACTAGTACATATATACTACATATTATAATGTATATATTAATCAAGGACGTGTCTAGACGGTGGTTTTTGATCGCCTTCATGAAACTTCCACTACACTTTTTTATAAACTGTTAATATGCTCGATTATATTTATGTCTTAAATTTGTAATTCTTCCCTATCTAAAGATATCCTGGGAACGTCAATGATATTAATAAATGAGATCTTTCGTTTATAAAATTCGGGTTTTAACTTTAATTCGAAAAATAAAATGATTTAATAATCATTCGGTTTTGTTTTGAGGTAAAGCAAAAACGATTACAAAGGCAAAATGGGTAAATAAAAGTCGAAGATCATAGTATGATAATGGATATTGGTAGTGATCGTAAGAACTAAACAATATATAATAAATAATACTGTGACATAACGATTATAATAATGATGGATCCATAATGATGGATATATTTGAGAGCAATAAAAATTAAAAACTTTTTCGAAATAAATTGAATTAAATATAATAAAATATTCATAAATCATCCCATAAGGACACGATGAAACATGATTGTAAGTACATTTATTATAAAATACATCAGTAAAGATATATGTAAGTATACTCAAAAAAATAGAATTGTTTAACAAAGTCCAATTATCACGACAGCTTCTAATGAAAGATTCATCTCGTCCTTAATTAGAGTAAAAAGCTTTTTGCGTTTAACAATGGTGACAGATGCTGATTACAGATTAAATTATTATTTAATGGTTATGAACGTAGAAAAATAGTATGAAGGTAGTAAAATTGGGGAAGTATCAAATGTTTTTGCCCTAGGGCGTTATTGGCAGTTAGGACGGCACTGATCATCGTAATGTATAACTTAACTTCGATGTACAATTTACTATACACATTTATAATAAATAATTAAGTTAATACAATTTCTTGTAATGGTTTGTAAAAATCACAACTTTGTAAAATTTTATAGCTATTTGAGCTCACTGATGAACTTTAATCCAAAATATCCCCCGATTTATTTTAAAAAAACCACATCAGATAACCCGGATATTCAAAGTTGAATTTAATGTTTCGGAGAATTGATTTATATATTATAAAAATTAGTAACTTATACAATAAAAATATTTTTGGTTTTAAAATGTTTTAGACTATGATATAATATAATACGAATAGGTATATACCTACGTTTTTTTATTATTTAATAATTTGTGGTAGTCTGGTAGTCGAGATAACACGGATGTACCAAAAAAAAAATATAAGTATAATTTCTACTGCACCCATAAGACATTATATTATACATATAATACATATTTTTTTTTTCATAAATAATATGTAATACATGTACATATATATAAATACTGTTCAAAAATTATTGTGCATATTAAATCGCTTCATATACTTCATGATTCTTTGAAAAACTTATTTTTTTTTTGTTATAGTACTTCATTTAAATATTGTGTAGTTATATATTTTATATTAAAATTTTTAATCTTTTAATTATGAAAATATATACGATCGTAGACAGGGACAAACACGGGAAAAATATTCAGAGATATTGAAAAATGTCTTAAGAAACTTTGAAACAACTATTAAATTTGTTGGTAGTTTTTTTTTTTTTTTAATTTTTCCTATTATTCGGGTGAGGTGTTGAATTCCCCAATACCTCCCTTTGCGTTCGCTTTTGGACACTTAAGTGTTATTCATAAATGTAAGCTGTAGGGAGTATATTTTTGACAGTGCGAAATAAAAATACTGCGATGACACAAAAATAATACAAATATCAACAAGAAAATGTAAACAACAAACGATTATAAAACTATTATAGAAAAGTAAGCTAATTATTAATAAAAGAATAACACACGTGCAATTAGTACTATACGTAATTGTATAACAATACCTAACGGCGACGTCTGCACAATCAGAATATAATGTGATGGAAAAAAAAAAAAATAAAAAAAAAAATTAAGCAATAATATGACTTAGTATTGCGGCGGTCTAGGTGAAAGAGACCACTATAACTATAACATTATGGTAAACAGTATAATCGCGGCGACGGAGGCGGCAACTAGACAACACTACGTCCTCAACAACTAATACACAGTAATAATACAACCAAGGCGGTGGCGGTGACAAATCGTCTGTAATCGGATGAATTTTATAAACTGTTTTGGCAACACTGGCCGTTTTATAGGATGACGGATCTGTAGCGGCGGCGGCAGCAGCAGCAGGTTTATCCTTTCGTGCGTTGTCGTCGTTTGCAAAACAATAAAATGGCCGTTCGATTTTTGTTGTTTGTGTACACAAACACACGCGCGCTTTGACGCACGCACACACAGACTCACGGGCGCCTCACGCACGCACAGCGATCCGGTAACTCTACTACGATAGCGCGCGGCGGCGGCACGCACTCGCACCGGTCACACAAGCGTGCACGGCACGTACACACGCGCAAACCCGTGGGCACGTACGCACGAACACACACACACACAACACACAAACATACACACTCAAACGCGACTCGCGGTCGGACACGAGCGGGGTGCGCGCGCATACGTTCAAACGCGCGCACGCACACACACACCATACACATACAATACACACACGTTCATCATCAATTATGTGGCCGTGCCGCCGACTACGGATAATATTGTAGTAGTAGTGGCCGAAATACGTATCGCGTCGTTGTGTTTATTGTGAATATCATGTTATGTTGTTGTTATCGGCCGTGGTGTTAATTGCCGTCGGTGTTTCATTGTGCGACTGTGATGTTGTCGCCGCTGAATTATTAGTGCCGCGCACAGTCATCGAATTACGATTATTATTATTATTATGTAACGGAATCGGATCGCCGGACACTGCTGCTGGCGTCGTGCGCGAAACGGTAAGCGTGCGAAAACGACTTGATATTATTATAATATTTTTGGGATTTTTTTTTTTTTTTTTTTTATTAATCTCTTCCACCTTTGATAAAACCGAAAGCGATAAATGTACGTTCCCCGTTAAGTTCGTCGTGTACATCGTGTTTGTGAATACGTTATCGTGTGATGCGAACATGTTTCCTTGGGCAGGTAGCCTCTAGACAGCCACTGTTACTTACCGTGCGTGCCGTTGTCTCTATACGTATGTGTGCGTTTGCGTGTGTCCATTGTGTTTACCAAACACTCGTGCTGTCGTGTTTTTCCGCGGACTGTGATTTTTTGCGCGCACCCCGTCGGTGCGGTTCCCGGCAGAACACGGTGATACGTGGTGGTGTGTGTGCACCTATCACCCGGTCGGTTCGCGCGATCTCCGGCCGGGCGACGGTTGTTTTTGTTATTGCAATGAGACGCCGCCGTTGATAATAGTGTACGTGTGTGTTTATATTATGATTGTAGTACACACCGTTATTCGTTTGTGCCGGGAACCCGACGACGTCTGAACGCACACGTAAAATCAAAACACAAACACGTAACGGCCGTTCTGGTTATTTTAGTAATAGGTTCGACGGCAGAAACCGTGTCTACCCAACACGACGTAAGGTTGGTCAGGTTGTCAGCTAGACGTTCTTCATGGACAGGCTGTAGTAACCTTGTTGTTGTCGTCATTGTCGTTACACGTCGGGGTTCTCTTGGTTATCCTTTGGGTATGGGTGTTCTCAAAGGTAACAGTCAGTTTAGAATATTCAAAATATTAACTGTTAAAGTGTATATTTTGTATTTTGACATGACGATCGTTACAATTTTTATATTTTTGTAGTTTGTGCGATTGTCTTGACATATTATTATTGCATATATTATTTTCCTTCTCAACAAACATTAATAACAACTAATGTTTTTCTAATTATTTCTCAACAAATTTTTGTTGAATGCATCAAGAAATTTATTGATATCCAACATTGTTATAACTTTTTAGTTGAGATCTCACTTTATCTTGAGGAATATTTGATAGGTATGTTATTTTATATTTTCTTCTGAAAATTGATAATTTTTTTATGTATTTACAACAAGTTATTTTTTTGAATGTTAGTTTTAACTAAATCCGACTAAAATGGCTCAATGAGATATTTATATTTGTTTTTGTTTTTGCTTGTAAAAATGTTAAATTAAAAATTATACAAATATTTATTTCGATAATTGTAATAATATCAATATTTTTAATAACAATACATTAATTTAATTATGATTATATTTTAAATTTCTATTGATTTGGTTCCAAATTGTTTATTTTATTATTTTACATAATTATATGGTTTAATTTAATAAAGTACCTAATAAGACATTTATTATGGTTCTTACAGTTCATTCAAACTAAAATTTCAGGTGGATAAAACGTAATTGAATGTATGGTGTGTGCTGCAGACTGGAAGGCACCGTGGATTCTATACCACAGGGCCTATTAGACGGCCGCCCTGCCAGTTCACTGGTTCTCACTCATCATCAGGTATAAAAATGTCATTGCTATTTAGTACATTATTATGTTTCTTATTAATTCCAAGTATAATTTTTAATTAGTATCAACAACTACAACATATACAAGCACAACAAGAACAAGCGGCTGCAGGAGGATTAACATTAACACTTCATCATCAAACTACTGTAAATATTTATAGTATAGTGCCTTTGATTATGTATTTATTAAATATTAATTGAATTTTAGGGTACAGGAACTAACGGTGTACTAACAGGAGGACCTCAACTAGTTCTTGCAAGTTCTCAAGGGCAAGGGATAACAACTTTTCCTTCAGTAACTACTCAACAAGCAGCAACATTACATCAGCATACTAGTATTCAACAAGTGTTACATCAACATGTTCAACATTCAAACATTCTTCACTCAACAAGCATACGACAGGTATTTAGAAAATATTAAAACATAAGAAAAATAAAATTTATTTTCTAATTATAATTATGGTGCTCTGTTTTATTTTATATCATAATAGTTTTGACCTAAAATTAGTTAAAAATGAGTGTTTTTTTTTAGATGGGTGCCCAACAGCATACATCTGGTACAATGGTTCAACAACAACAGGCTACAGCGATATTGGATACTACAAATACTAAATGTATACCGCCTTCGCCTGGATCACCATTTTCTTCACGATCACTTACTCCCTCTCCCCAGCAGAGAGTTATTACACCCCAACCACAAGTTATCCATCAGGTAAATAATTTCCCATGTATTCCCCATAGTTGATTTTAATTTCTTTCTATTTTTTTTTTTTTTTAGATGATGAGTGCTAATGGTCCGGTTTTACAATTTATACAACCAAATAGTCGAAATAATGTAAATAATGTTCAAGTAAAAAGTAAACCGCCGCCCCAAATATTACCTAAACCAATGGGTAGTAATAATCATGTACAGAACCATGCTAGTATTAATAGCATAAAATCACAACAATCACATCATTCAACCTCAATACATAGTCAACAACAAGGTGCTTTCTTAATAAATCAAGTAAGTTTTGTATTTGGTCAATAAATATAAATAATATTAGTTATATTATAAGATTTTAATTTAAACAATACATTTCTTGATTCTAAAAATTTTTAGTTTTAATTTCCTATCATACCATTTTTCTCAAAAACTTAATGTTGACATTTTTTTTTCATAATATATTTTATTATTCAAAAATTAGATTATGCCAACTACTGGTGTAATAGTTGGTCCACAAACAACTGGTGGTCTTCAGCTTATTCTCCGATCCCCTAATACTCAAAATACTAATACCCAACAAGCTCAAGTTACATGCAATGGTACCCAAATATTACTTCAACAGCCCAGACAACAGTCAAATCAGGTAAGTAATTTTTATTTTTTATTTTTCTTGTGTACTAACATTTTTTTTAGGTTGTAAGGTTAGTAAGTGGTCAAAGTGTTCAATTGCAACAAATTCAAACATGTTCTGGCCCAGCATTAGTTGCATTGTCTACTAATCCTCAATCTAACATCACCCAAACATCAAATAATAGGTCAATGAATATTAAAAAAAAGAAACAGAAAATTCATTCAAGGCCTCATGATGATGAACCTGTACGATTAGATTTAGCCAATCTAATCAAACTTTCAGGTGAGTTTTAAGAATAATTATCATATTTATTACTATATTACCTTCATAACCAATTTCATATAGGTATTGATGAAGAAGACTCGGGTACACCTATAATACAACAAACTCAAATAAATCAAACTAATAGAATTCAACAAACACCTACTCCTCCTCCACAATCCCATCAACAATCTGCACCATTATTAGCTCAATTACAAACTCCTACTTCTTCGTCACAGGTAATTAATATTCATGATTTCAATTTACTTAAATCTAACAATTAATATTAAAATGTTATAGGGTGGTTTCCGTTTGTCTTTGGGAGAAGATGGCCGCATGATTGTACACCAACCCCAAATTACTGCTAATACTCTTACTCAGGTAATACTTAACATAATTATTATATAATGATGCAAATATTTTACAATCGGGTCTTAAAAAGTTTTTCCAATTGAGCAAAGAAAATCTTCCCTAAATATTAATAAATGATAAATAAGCTCTATTACACATAGTAAAAATCCAATGTTATTCCATTATCAAATTAATTTTTCACTCAATAGAATTACTTTTATTAAAGACTTGGGAGTTAACTCTGAAAATGATTTTGCGATTATATAAAATCATATAATTATAAACAAATCATAAAATGCTAGATTTTATTAATAAAAATACGTAAATATTAAAAAACACTATAAGTCATCTAGACTATATCTATAAGATCTAACTTCGAATTTGATTCACTTATTTGGTCTTATAATTACTCAAAATATATAAATGATCTTAATAATTGCTTATATCTGTATCATAAATATCTCTAGAGATATCATTTAATGTTATTGAAAACTTTTGCCTAGGCTCATTGAATACAAGACTTAATTAACCAGATATTATATTAGTTTACAATATTTTAAACAACCTCATTGATTGTCCTAAATTCTTAAATGACATTGATTTGTGTGTACCATGTAGAAACACAAGAAACTGAGATACAGTAAAACCTCGATTATCCATCCCCCGATTAACCATCTTTCTCAGTTAACTGTCAGGTCATAATTGCCGATGTAATCCGAAATTTTCCAGCAATATCTACTTGATAAGCGATAGGTAAATATGTATATATATATATTTTTTATGGGTGAGATAAAAACAGTTAATTGTGATAGTGATCAAGTTTTGTTTTTGAAAAGTCAATTAGTTATATATTACACGTGTGTTCGTTCGTGTTTTTAGTCTGTGTGAAAATATTTTAAGTTTAAAAACAATAAGTGAAAAAGGAAAGCGTGTTGTACTTGATTTATCTCAAATATTGTATATTATTGAGTGTTTATGAAGAGAAGAAAGTGCAGTAAGCATAGTACCAATTTACGAAATTAAAAAATAATGAATAATATGTATGTTGTTTAAATAAAATTTTGTTGGTCACTTAATTATTTTTTCGATTATCCATCAAAGCTCCGATCCCGAGACTAATGGTTAATCGAGGTTCTAATGTATATTTGTGATTCTCGTTTTTTATAATTATAATGTTTTATATTTGTGTAATTTTGTGTATGTAAAACTTCTCTTTTTATAATATATAATAAATCTATATAATTATTTTACATTTTTTTAAGTAATATTATTTTTAATTTATAGAGTGTTTCAGCAAGTGTTGCTGCTGCAGCACAAACTCAATTAGCTCAGTTAGTTGCTGATCACGGTGGACATATTCTACAAAATGCTGTTTTAAGTGTTGCTGGTGCTGAATCTTTACTTCTGAAAGGAAGCAATACTATGCTACCGACTCAACCTCAAAATGGTTCTGGGATGCGTATTTTGGCTGATGTTTCTGGGCGCCTTCAAATTGTTACTGTATTAGAACCACCGTCATTACAACAAAATATTATTAATGGTCAACATTTAATGTTTCCTACTACTGGTACTCCTGTGAGTGTTGAAAATCGGCAAAATCATCAACAGTTTGTAATGTCGACACCAGTTGAAGATCAACAGAACAAAGTTGTACAACAAAATAATAGTATTCGAGTTATGCATAGTAGTAGTACAATGGTCTCAAGCTTAGATCATCAACAAAATAGTAGTATTCAGCTGGTTTCAAATATGTTAGATAGTCGATTATTAGTGGCAGCAAATAATGATTCTTCAAGAAATAACGATATAGTATATAATGAAGAACAAAACCGATTACAAATAGTAACTAATTCTTCTACTTTAAATAAAAATGTAGAATTACAGAATCAGTCTCCAATAATTCATACTTCTGAAAGAGTAATGCAAACTTCAATATCAAGGTCTAAAACCGTGCCAGTATCTTCCCATAGTCCTAGAAGTATTCAATCTGTGATAAGTCCTCAATGTAGTCCAGCTATGTCTCATAGCTCTAGAAGTAATTCAAAAAGTCCTGCCTCCTTTAATTCTCCTGTACCTTCACCGAATGTTTCCCAGTCATTTACACCCATGTTGCCTAATAGGCCTAACTTAACCATTGTAACTTCACCTCAACAAAGCAATATGCAATTCTCAAAACCATGTGCTGCCATCATATCACAATCAAATGATAATCATATGACATTATCTAACTACCAGACTTCTGTAATTAATAGGACAAATAATAGGAGTCCTGTTGCTATTTCCTCAAAAATATTCAGGCCAAACAGTCCACCTAAAGCTTCTGTTCCAGTAGAAGTTCAATCTCAAAATGCATTTTTAGATAGTATAGCCCAATCTCATCCAAATATATTAATCAATAAAACTATGGTTGTTCCACCATGTGCTAATAAAGCACCTATTAAACCAAGAAAAGTAAAACGAGCTGCTGTTGTAAAACCAATGGTATTTCAATGTGATGAAAAAGAAAAAGAACTTCATGATACACCAGTTCCTTTAAACTCGCCAGAAAGTAGTATTTCAAATCAAAGGGTTAAAACTATACAACTTACACCACAAAAACAACAGGTTTGTTGGTATCTGTTAAACTTTTATTTAAGTAAATATTTATCTTAATGAATTTCTTCTTATCAATATTCAGCTGTTAAAAGCAGTTCAAAATCAAATTTCTGCATTGAGTGCTAAAAAATTTCGTACAAGTAGTGAAACAACTGCTTTGCAGAGATTGTTTAACGAACAGCAGAAAATTTTACAATGTGGAAAAATTGTTCCTACGCTTTCTGGACAAAATTCACAAGGCATTACCTATGTAAGAAGTTAAAACATATATTCATCAGTTAACATATATCTACCAAAAATTTTTAATTCTTTAATATATTATATATTTTAAGGTATCTACACCTGTAAGATTAGTGCCTCCTCCTTGTCCTATGACATTAAGTCCTCCCCATACTATTTCACCTCCTCTTCCTGTACAAACATCAATAGCTGCATCACCTCCAACCAGCAATAAAGCAACATCTCCTTTACATGTTCAAGTAAGTAATAATAATACTATCAACTAATTAATTTTTAAAATAAAAACTAAATATTTATTCATATAAAAAAAAAAAGTTATTGTTATGGTTAAACCTAACTTGTACTTAACATTTTACTATATTATTGCATATTAAATCTATGTTGAAATAAAAATAAAAATTAAATTATGCGAAAAATGTATTAAAAGTTTTTAAAGTTTTTAATATTTTATTTTAACTCATTTATTATGTATTTGTACATTTGATAATTTATATTTATATAATATTATAGGTGGGAACGCAAACATCATGTGAACCTTCCCCAACTCTTCCTGCATTTAGTGCTTCAAAACGAATATCATTGTAAGGGTTCTACTGTTTATTTTCTTTGAAATGTTTTAAATAACTAATATTATGACATTGATTTAGGATTTCTGAACGAATAGCAGCAGATCAATTAGGTGCAACTAATCCTGATGTTGTCTCTCCATTTAGTTCAGCCAGTGATGCTGTAAAACGATTATCACGTTATCATTGTTTAAATGATGCTGTACTATCAGAGAGAGATTTAGAGTTGGCTGATGAAATATTTGAATCTACTGCCAAACATTTGTTAGATAAAAAAGCATCATTATTTAACAAATATCGTTACCTATTATTTAAAGAAAGTATGGTAAGTATATCACTAATATTTTGAAGTATTCAATAGTATAATTAAAATATTTATTCATTCACTCTGTATGTTAATAGAGAGAAGTACAAACGTCTGAATTGATTATGTTGGGGCGATTATTTGATGCTGATGAATCTGCACAATTACAGCAATTAAAACAAAATGTTAATACAAATTCAATTAATACATCAACAAGTAAGTATTCATTTATAATAGTAGTATTGTTGTATATACTAAATATTTTACAAAATAATGTAGGTTGTAGTGATGAACCAATATCTAGAAAACGTGAACATCAATCTGAAGATGATCAGACTATATCAGAAAACAAACGCCATTGCCCTGATGATGAAGAAATCAATGCACAGGTGCAAAACGCCATAGACAGTATTTTGAATTTGCAACGCAGTGATCCGGCAACGGATGAAGCGGTGCGCAGCATTTTACCGTCCTAGCATATTGGTCCTAGGAAATTTTTGACCACAGCATGAACATTAAAATATTGGTTCCTCCGTGTATGGATTTCCTAAAAGCGATTATGGTAATATTTGACTGTGTTAATATTAATTTAATTTTTTTCCTTTCTTTTTATATTAATGTTTATTTTCTTTTTAATATCTTACATTTAACTAAAAAAATGTTTAAGAAAGAAATATGTTAAGGTAGAAATTTAAGATAATGTGAGGATGGGCTTCAACAATTTTATAAATCGAGTTTGGAAACTGATTACTCTTCTACTGACAATTACAATGTTACCAAATCAAAATAACTAAGAAATTTCTTTATCTAGTCTACTCAAACAATTCACATCACTTGTTGTTATTAGTTTATTTTTATATAGGTTTGAAGATAATTACATTAAATTTAGAACAAATTTAAGTGAATAAAAATTACTTGGTTAGAAATAGTTATTATTTTCATTATATTGGTTGTAAGTTGTCTAACTATGTAATGTTCTATTAGTATATACTATTCTGTGATTATCTAATTAAATTATTATAAACCATTTAAAATAAGTATTATATTTATTTCTTTGAACATGAATTAGATGTGTAAAATCAGGAAATTTAAGAATATAATTGTTCAGATTAAATTTATTTTTATTTTCTAGTTTCTTTTTGTGCTGTGTTAATTTGTAAATGTATTTTCTTATCTTCTATTTTGTAATTCATTTTAACCAAACATTTAACATTATTTGATTGCAATTAAAAAAAAATAATAATAGAACCAGATATTTATGACTTTTTACAACTTCTAAAATACTATAAATTACATACAACTATACAATTCTGCATTATCAACATTTTAAAATTTTATATTACAATTATGATAAAATTAAAACTGATTTAAATTCAAATTTGAAAATTATACATTTTACTGTAGAGTAATAAATAATAACTTTTTTTTTATTATAAAGGGGATGTAACTTATTGTCAGTGCAACCTTATTAGATATAATTTCTTTTTTTAAAATTGTTTATACTTGTAAATTAACATTTTTTTCAAATGCCGCCCATCCTTACTACTTTTTATTTGCACAAGTCACAATTTTTGAAATATTAAATTTTGTTATATTTTGAAGCATCACTTACCTGACTTTAATAAATATAATTCACCGGACACCTATCTACCCATTTTATTACTATCAATTTGTTAATTTTCTTTTTATATTTAATTTATGATTTATTTCTTCTGGCAACTATCCTCGCTTTAGTGTTAGATTTTAATTAATATTTTAATGTACTTTAACTGGCATAAGTTTTAATGCGAAAATTGTCTTTGGCCAATTATAATTAAAGCTAGATAAATATTTTTGCCTCTACTAACTATTAAAGTATAATGCAATACTTTTAGGTTTGTTAAACCGTTATAAAAGTTTATAAATAGTTCATTTTTTCAATGAATTCAATATTAATAAACTACATTTCACTGTGTTCATTCAATTTTCAAAATTGTAATTTTTGTTGAATTTTAATAATTTATAATATCTATTGGAGGTTTAAATATTTATCTACACATCCCAATTGTTTAGTTACCAAAAGCATTTATGTATTTTTTTTTTAAATTGTAGTTTTCCTTTTGTGCAAAATATTTAAATTATTTGCCAAATGTATCGCTGTTCTAGTGAAAATATATTATGTATTTTCTTTCTGTTAATTAAAAGAAAAATATTTCCACAGGGTAATTTCAAAACCTAAAATAAATTTTTAAATATTTATTCACTTTAGTCAAGTGTACTTAAATATAAACTTATGTATGTAACTCACTAAACGAGTAGTATTTTATAATATGCACGTATGTTTTTTTTCTACGTGTCTTGTATAAGATCTCAAAAGCACAAATCTATGAAATTTGGGCAAAAATCTATATTCTAGATGAAAATTTTTCATTTTGCCATTAATTATATATTTATATATATATATAAACATATATATTTTTTTTTAATTTATTTTAAAGTTACTTTATTTGTATAATTGTTTAGTTTAAGTCTGTATGTATAAATTATTATTGTGCTTAAAATGATGTTTTGTTGTGTACATAATTATTTTAAAATAAAATTGTGAACTATTGTAATAATTTTACAATCTTATCACTTTATAAATAAATAGAAATGAAAAATATATAAATTTATGTAGAAGACAATGTTATAAGTCTTAGGTGATCAATATCTAGTATCGTGACAATTTTCTTTTAACATTTAATCCAATAAATCTCAATATTATTTAAATAAAAAATAACATAATTTTAACGAATTATGACCAAATAAATTCTAATAGTCAGTATAAATACATTTTAATTCAATATTTTTACCAACATTTTAAAGTGCACTTATATTTTAATGTTTATTTAAATGTATAAACATATTTAATCATCCTTACTATATGAAAATTAAATTTTATAAGTTATGAGTTTAAAAAAAATTTTGTGATATATTCTACGTGAAATTCAGAGACATTTAAAGGATAAACATTCAGTTAAAAGAATAATTAATATAATTGGTTAAGAAATTTTTAAAATTTTCTTTGTTAACCATAATATTATATGCTATTAATAATAATAATAATAACTAATAATAATATTTATTACTCTTTAATTTTCTTTATACGATCTTTCAACAACTTTGACCTGTTATACTCCCTTTTGATTGATATCAACGATAAATTATGAAGTATTTTAATAGTCATAGATTTTCTTAAATATTTTTTGGTTAATTTCATTGTTAAAAAACTTCTTTCTACTAATGCCAAATTTACTGGTATGATTAATACACATTCTGTAACCAATTTCATTTCTTAAACAATTTTTTTATTTTTTTTTTGATTCTACTATATTGTTATTTTAATATAATGTTATTTTTGATTTAGGAATTGGGTTGAAATATTGGCTAATAATTTTATTATAAAATATCAATTATAAAGACAATACCAGAAAAATTAACAATTCTAAAACATAAACGCAAAACAAGAACTTTAATTCAAAGAACACGGATTTGCTTTTTTTGTCAACCATGATTTACTAACATAATAATCATAAATATAGTTGTTGATTGTTTACTGATGCCTATTTTTTCATGAAGCATTTGAAGATCTCCAATCAGTTTTGTTTATAGATGACGATTGTGCACGACAAGATGAAATTGATACACGGTCATATGAGTACCTACATAGTATGCCGATTTATGTGTTTAATGCAAAAATTCTTGTGATAAAAAAAAAATTTTTTTTTAAAATGCATATTTTGGTTGTATACAAGAATTTAAAATTAGGGTAGGCCAAGGCCTACTCCCTGAACATGCTCTAATATGATGGTTACCTATGGCTTTTTATGTTGTATCTGCAGCTAATAAATTTATACTTCAAAATACTATTAATTTAGCAATTCATTATCTGTTAATATTTTTGTATTTAATAAATGAACTTCCTATGGTGCTATATTTTTTTATGCCCATTATTAGTAAAATAGTTAGTTTAATTTTAAAGAGTCTACTCAAGGAGGATACATACATTTTTTTTAATTAAGACCTAATAATTGATAAAAAAACTTTTATCTAAATCTATCATATTAAAGTATGTATATGATAATTTATCAATAATTATATTATAATTTTAATATATTTCAAATTCAAATATATTGTTGATTGGTAATAAATATAATAAAATATAAATTAATGTTATTGCTATATTTCTTGTTAATATACATAATATATACATACTTCATCATTATTTGTCGATTTATAATTTTTTTATAAAATTATTAATTCACACATTTTATACACTATTAAAAAATTGAAATAGAACAGTAAAGAAGTTTATATCAAAACAATATATTACTTTAAGTAATTAATAATCAGACATTTTTTTAATTTTTAAATGAGTTATTAAAAATAATATTCAAAAAGTTTACAATTTTATAATTATTCTATTTACATTTACATTAGCAAATTAAATTGACTAGAATGCATTGTTTATGAAAGTCATATGGGTCTAAACTCAGCAATAGGGTTTCTACAAATAGGACAACTAGAAACCTTTTTTCTTACTACATCAACATAACAACTATCACAAAAACACCTATGAAAACATGGCCACAGCAGAAATGAGGGTACAAATGATTCGAGGCATATTGAACACTCTGTCACTTCAGTAAGTTTATCTGTAAACAAAAAATGTTTATTCATTATTTGTTACATATTTACAAACTTTAACATTTTACCTATTGATATATTTTCGTTAGACTTATCAATATTATGATTTGAGTTAGAGCAAAATGATGGTGTAAAAAAATTATTATCTGGAGACCCTGAAGCTTCTATTGGTTGTTGCCCGTTGAACATTGAGCAAACTATAGTTCCAACAACTGCACCTAAAAAAATTAAAAATATTGTAGTTTTTAGAATTGATGTGTTATTTATATAAGTATACAATTATAGAAACTTACCAAACATAGAACCAAGTTTTCCACCAGCCATAAAACCAAGTATTGATAATCCTCCAATAACAATTGTATCTTTTATACTAGAATTGGATGACATTTTGACAACCAAATTCACTGCATTCTATTTATACAAAATTATTTCAGAGTAACACTTATAAAATTGATCATTTTTCCATTTAATTATTTCATAGATATCATTTAAATGTTATGGTAAAATTAGTAAATTATGGTGTTATGTTCTGGAATAACTAATATTCTATTGATCTTATATTATTTTTATTTGGTTATATTACAAATGTTTACAAGGAGAAAATATAATTATTACAATTATGAGTAATTAATTAGAAATCTAGACACTTTATTATACCATACAACTTAAATAAAAATATCAAAATAAATGATGTAAAATAAACTATAGAAATAGATTGCAGATATAGAATGAATTGATCACTATAAAAATTTTACATTTTTAAAACTATATACAAAAGAATATTTTAGTTTTATTTAAACTAAAACTAAGTGTTATCTAGGATTTAAAATAAATGTTTAGTATTTTAATTTAGAAACAATATAATATGTATTATAATTATTACCAGGACTAGTGAGATAGTTATGTTTTTAAGTTTTTTTTTCTAACAAAATAGAAATACAATTTATTATTTTTCTTATTTTCAAATATAAGCAAGCTATAGCCACATATTAACTTGGGGAACAAGAGTTATCAGTCGAAAATTAATAGTCAAAATATAAATGATAAGTTATAGACTTCAATTATTTACAAAATAGTGATATTTATTTTTCCATAGAATACTCAATTAAAATTGCAGTGGCATTCAAAATACATAAAAATTAATTGAAATTAATGTATAGCTGTACTTGTGCCAATTCCGAAGTAGTAAAAAGGTGAAAATATTTTTTACAAGAGTAGCACAAACAGAAAAATATTTATGTCTTAATATTTGATATAATGTCGTGTGTTAAGTGGTAGGTAATGTTAAATCAGACAATCATTGTAGTGGTGAACACAGTACATAGATATAATATATATTATGTCTATGACGCAGTATAATCGAGGGTCAGGCATATTCTACTCAACCGTATGACTAAAAACGATCAACCGTTAACGAATATTGCTACTCGAGTTTGTAAATCGTTAGCGTATTATTGAAATTGAACGAAAGTGAAACACCAATAGTTGTCAACAAGCAACAAAGATTGAAATTATATACTATATTACCAAAAATTAGCGAGCTAAGTCTGTTCAGTTAATCAGCAGTTGAGTGAAAAACATAAGCACTAAAAATCGAAATACAGATGAAAAAGAAAAGATCGATTATTAGTAAACAAAATTAGTGATAACTACTATTTGATAACGGTTTTCAGACATTATTTTATTGTTGTTATAATTTCTTTGAGTGTATCTTTGCACACAATTTAATTTAATTTATTTTAAATGAAATATGAACAGTGTCTAGTAGAGACGTGTCATTCCTGAACGAATTAATTCAATTAAACTATTTAGTTAAGTGAACGATTCGAATTAGTTCACGTTTAGATGAACGACATCGTTCAATTGTTCATCGTATTCTGTATACAGTACACTACTGCTAACTACTAAAACGTTCACTGAACAATCGAACGAATGATTATCATCAGCATTTTTTTGTACGTTCATCAATAAGCTCGGATTGAGATAATTTTGTCCCGAGGCTAGTGGTGTATTGGTAAATATATTTATGGGTATACGGACTAAAAAAATATGGATTTTAATCCTAAAATAAATTTTTTCGCTTCGCTCGACGATTTTTTTCTCTTGATACATCCGAATGAATTTAATTAATCCTTTGTACATGTTTATAATAAGACAATATAAAACTAATAATATAAAATAAAACTAATAAAAACTAATATAAAAACTACAATATATACTTTTGTCGCGCGATATTAATTGTATGATGCAGATTTAAGAACCGAGGACTGAATGCCCATACTCCATATTATTTTATTTAATGTTATTCAAAAAACTCACTTCATCAATTCAAAGTGCCATTTGGAGCTCTTGTCCCACCTCAACTCATCCTACCCCTACTTACTTTATTCCACTCCCAATTTTCGCTCGAGACCTAATCAATCTTAAACGTCGCACTAGATAAAACTGGCAAAGAAACAGATTCCCTTCTGATAAAAACATATTCAACAACCTAGCCAACAGAACAAATAAAATGCTAGCAGAAGTACGCAAAGAATCATACGCCAAATACACTGCTTCTCTTACTGTTAAAAACTACTTTCTTTGGAAGTCAACTCAACAAATTCTACGATAACCATCAATATCACCCCCTTTAAAAAAAGCAGATCTAACCTGGCCAACTAACGACATTGATAAAACAGAACTTCTTGCATCGCATCTCGCAAAAGTCTTTAAAACCCATAGCGATATATCGACACCTTTAATATCTAACAATATTATTGATAAATTATCTATCCCACTCCCAATGTACGAGTAGGTATCTTTCATAAAAACATTTTTCTCCTGACAAAATAATCCAGTGTATAAACTCATTTTCACTTCATAAATCCCCCGGTTTTGACATTATAACAACAGAGGGTGCCCGCCAGATTCATAAAAAAGCGATTTTAATACTGATACATATAATTAAAGCAATTATCCGTCTATCATATTTCCCCACTCAATGGAAATTTTCATTAATTATTCTAATCTCCAAATCCAAAAAACCTCCAGATCTCACCAGTTTGGTTTACGGAAAAGACACTCGACCATACGCCAAATATACATATATACAATATACAAATATTCCAAGCTTATTGATATGAGGTCTCATAGACCTCATATCAATAAGCTTAGAAAAAAAATTATATTGTTCGACAATAATGTTAGACCCAGGGAAAGCTTTTGATCGCATTTGGTTTCCTGGTCTCCTCTTAGACTTCGTCACATCCTATTTCCATCATATTACCTTTTC